TGACATTTTCGTAATTTTGTGTGCTTCGAAAGGCCATTTTCTTTGGATTTTGAAGGCTACAGATCACGGATTCGGCCTGAGACTATTTTTCAACGATGATTAAGTCCATTAAGCACCGATTTGGGCGGATTTATTCCGGGTCAATTTTTGGCAGATTGCAAAGGGGTACCATCATAGATTTTGGTCGATTTTTCCGAAATGCCAGTTTCTTTCGATTCTGGAGGCTACAGATAACGAAATCAGGCCGAGGCTATTCTCCACCTATATTGAAGTCTATTGATCCTATTCTCCACGGATGATAAGTCCATTAAGCACCGATTTTGGCCAATTTATTTTTGCATGGAATTTTGGTAATTTTGTTCGCGTCGTAAGGCCATTTTCTTTGGATTTTGAAGGCTACAGATCACGGATTCGGCCTGAGACTATTCTGCAACGATGATTAAGTCCATTAAGCACCGATTTGTGCGGATTTATTCCTGGTCAATTTTTGGCAGATTGCAAAGGGGTACCATCACAGATTTGTGGCGATTTATCCGAAATGTCATTTTCTTTCGATTCTAGATGCTACAGATCACGGAATCAAGCCGAGACTATTCTCCATCGATTATGAAGTGTATTGATCCTATTCTCCACGGATTATACGTCTATTAAGCACCGATTTGAGCAAATTTATTTTCGGATGGCATTTTCGTAATTTTGTGGCGTCGAAAGGCCATTTTTTTTGAATTTTTAAGGCTACAGATCACGGATTCGGCCAGATACTTTTCTTCAAAGATGATTAAGTCCAATAAACACGATTTGGGCGGATTTATTCCGAGTCAATTTTTGGCATATTGCAAAGGGGTACCATCACAGATTTTGGGCGATTTTTCCGAAATGCCATTTTCCTTCGATTCTGAAGGTTACAGATCACAGAATCAGGCTAAAGCTATTCTCCACCGATAATGAAGTCTGTTGATCCTATTATCAACGATTGATAAAGTCCATTAAGCACCGATTTGTGCCAATTTATTTTTCGGATGACATTTTCGTAATTTTGTGTGCTTCGAAAGGCCATTTTTTTTTTTATTTTGAAGACTATAGATATCGGATTCGGCCTGAGACTATTCTTAAACGACGATTATGTCCATTATGCACCGATTTGCGCGGATTTATTCCGGGTCAATTTTTGGCTGATTGCAAAGGGGTACCATCACATATTTTGGGCGATTTTTCCGAAATGTCATTTTCTTTCGATTCTGGAGGCTACATATCACGAAATCTGGCTGAGGCTATTCTCCACCGATAATGAAGTCTATTGATCCTATTCTCCACGGATGGTAAGTCCATTAAGCACCGATTTGGGCCAATTCATTTTCGGAAGCCATTTTCGTAATTTTGTGTGCGTCGAAAGGCCATTTTCTTTGGATTTTGAAAGCTACAGATCACGGATTCGGCCTAAGACTATTCTTCAACGATGATTAAGTCCATTAAACACCGATTTGGGCGGATTTATTCCGGGTAAATTTTTGGCAGATTGGAAAGGGGTACCATCATAGATTTTGGGCGATTTTTCCGAAATGCTATTTTCTTTCGATTCTGGAGGCTACAGATTATGGAATCAGGCCGAGGCTATTCTCCATCGATAATGAAGTCTATTGATCATATTCTCCTAGGATGATACGTTCATTAAGCACCGATTCGGGCCAATTTATTTTCGGATGGCATTTTCATAATTTTGGAGGCGTCGAAAGGCCATTTTCTTTGGATTTTGAAGGCTACAGATCACGGATTCGGCCTGAGGGTATTCTTCAATGATGATTAAGTCCATTAAACACCAATTTGGGCGGATTTATTCCTGGTCAATTTTTGGCAAATTGCAAATGGTACTATCACAGATTTAGAGAGATTTTTTCGAAATGCCATTTTCTTTCGATTCTGGAGGCTACCGATCGCTGAATCATGCTGTGGCTATTCTACACCGATAATGAAGTCTATTGATCCTATTCTCCACGGATGATAAGTCAATTAAGCACCGATTTGGTCCAATTTATTTTCGAATGGCATTTTCGTAATTTTGTGAGTGTCGTAAGGTCATTTTCTTTGGATTTTGAAGGCTACAAATCACGGATTCGGCCTGAGACTATTCTGCAACGATGATTAAGTCCATTAAGCACCGATTTGGGCGGATTTATTCTTGGTCAATTTTTGGCAGATTGCAAAGGGGTACCATCACAGATTTTGGGCGACTTTTCCGAAATGCCATTTTCTTTCGATTCTGGAGGCTACAGACCACAGAATCAAGCCGATGCTATTCTCCACCAATAATGAAGTATATTGATGCTATTCTCGATGGATGATACGTCCATTAAGCACCGATTTGGGCCAATTTATTTTCGAATGGCATTTTCGTAATTTTGTGTGCGTCGAAAGGCCATTTTCTTTGTATTTTTAAGGTTACAAATCACGGATTCGGCCTGAGACTATTCTTCAACGACGATTAAGTCCATTAAACACTGATTTGGGTGGATTTATTCCGGGTCAATTTTTGGCAGAGTGCAAAGGGGTACCATCACATATTTTGGGCGATTTTTCCGAAATGTCATTTTCTTTCGTTTCTGGAGGCTACAGATCACGGAATCAGGCCGAGGCTATTCTCCACCAATAATGAAGTCTATTGATCCTTTTCTCCACGGATGATAAGCCCATTAAGCACCGATTTTGGCCAATTTATTTTCAGATAGCAGTTTCGTCATTTTGTGGGCGTCGAAAAGCAATTTTCCTTGGATTTTGAAGGTTACAGTTCACGAATTAGGCCTGAGACTATTCTTCTACGATGATTAAGTCCATTAAGCACCGATTTGGGCGGATTTATTCCGAGACAATTTTTGGCAGATTGCAAAGGAGTACCATCACAGATTTTGGGCGATTTATCCGAAATGCCATTTTCTTTCTATTCTGGAGGCTACAGATCACGGAATCAGGCCGAGGCTATTCTCCACTGATAATGAAACCTATTGATCTTATTCTCCTCGGATGATAAGTCCCTTAAGCACCGATTTGGGCCAATTTATTTTCGGATGACATTTTCGTAATTTTGTGAGCGTCGAAAGGCCATTTTCAGTGGATTTTGAAGGCTACAGATCACGGATTCGGCCTGAGATTATTCTTCAACACGATTATGTCCATTATGCACCGATTTGCGCGGATTTATTCCGGGTCAATTTGTGGCAGATTGCAAAGGGGTACCATCACAAATTTTGGGCGATTTTTCCGAAATGTCATTTTCTTTCAATTCTGGAGGCTACAGATCACGGAATGAGGCAAAGGCTATTCTCCACTGATAATGAAGTCTATTGATCCTATTCTCCACGATTGATAAGTCCATTAAGCATCGATTTGGGCCAATTTATTTTCGGATGACATTTTCTAATTTTGTGGGCGTCGAAAGGCCATTTGCTTTGGATTTTGAAGGCTATAGATCACAGATTGGGCTTGAGACTATTCTTCACAGATGATTAAGTCCATTAAACACAGATTTGGGCGGATTTATTTCGGGTAAATTTTTGGCAGATTGCAAAGGGTACCATCACAGATTTTGGGTGATTTTTCCGAAATGCCAATCTCTTTCGATTCTGGAGGCTACAGATCACGGAATCAGGCCGAGGCTATTTTCCACCGATAATGAAGTCTATTGATCCTATTCTCCACGGATGATAAGTCCTTTAAGCACCGATTTGGGACTATTTATTTTCAGATGGCATTTTCGTAATTTTGTGGGCTTCGAAAGGCCATTTTCCTTGGATTTTGAATGCTACAGATCACGGAATCAGGCCGAGGGTATTCTCCACCTATAATGAAGTCTATTGATCCTATTCTCTACGGATGATACGTCCATTAAGCACCGATTTGGTCCAATTTATTTTCGAATGGCATTTTTCGTAATTTTGTGGGCGTCAAAAGCCATTTTCTTTGGATTTTGAAGGCTACAAATCACGGATTCGGTCTGATACTATTCTTCAACGATGATTAAGTCCATTAAGCACTGATTTGGGCGGATTTATTCCGGGTCAATTTTTGGCAGATTGCAAAGGGGTACCATCACAGATTTTGGGCGATTTTTCCGAAATGCCATTTTCTTTCGATTCTGGAGGCTACAGATCACGAAATCAGGCCAAGACTATTCTCCACCAATAATGAAGTCTATTGATCCTATTCTCCACGGATGATACGTCCATTAAGCCCGATTTGAGCCAATTTATTTTCGGATGTCATTTTCATAATTTTGTGGGCGTCGAAATGCCATTTTCTTTGGATGTTGAAAGCTACAGATAACGGATTCGGCCTGAGACTATTCTTCAACGATGATTAAGTCCATTTTAAATCAATTTGGACGGATTTATTCCGGTCAATTTTTGGCAGATTGCAAAGGGGTACCATCATAGATTTTGGGCGATTTTTCCGAAATGTAATTTTCTTTCGATTCTGGAGGCTACAGATCACGTAATCAGGCGGAGGCTATTCTCCACCGATAATGAAGTCTATTGATTCTATTCTCCTCAGACGATAAGTCCATTAAGCACCGATTTGAGTCAATTTATTTTCGGATGACATTTTCGTAATTTTTTGGGCGTCGAATGGCCATTTTCTTTGGATTTTGAAGGCTACAGATCACGGATTCGGCCTGAGACTATTCTTCAACGACCATTAAGTCCATTAAGCACCGATTTGTACGAACTTATTCCGTGTCAATTTTTGTCAGATTGCAAAGGGATACCATCACAGATTTTGGGTGATTTATCCGAAATGTCATTTTCTTTCGATTCTGGAGGCTACAGCCTACAGATCACGAAATCAGGCCGAGGCTATTCTTCACCGATAATGAAGTCTATTGATCCTATTCTTCACGTACGATAAGTCCATTAAGCACCGATTGGTGCATCGGCTTGGTTGGGCCGAGCCTGATTCTTTCGCATTTGTCATTTATTCTTTTTATTTTATCTTATTTCCATCATTCTAATTTTAAAACAAAATTCGTTTCTTGGCAACTGGATCAATCGGCCTATCCCTCGAACGCCGACGCGACTTCCCAAAATCGTCGCCGTCACCTGTTACAAAGCCACCGGTCTGCCTCCCAGACCTTCGTTAGTCTCTTTTATCTCCCCGGCCAAGGAATTGCCAGTACATGTATTAAGGCGTACGATTTTCTCGGCAAACAATCGGAAAGATGAATGCTTTGCTATCTATGCTCCTGTTAATGTCTTCCGTTCCGTCGCCGGCGTTTCCTGTTACCCTATGATTCAGAATCTGATCGATCTACTTTGATTGGTTGGTTTAATATCCTAGCTTTGTTCCATATATGTTGGAGGATTTGGGCATTGTGTAGTTGATGAGAGTTGACCGATTGGGTGGATTAGGGTTTTAGTCTGCTGTCCCTCCTCCGCCCGGGTTATTTATTCAAAGTAGTTAGGGTCTTGGTAGTAGGTCTATGGCGGATCGTAGCATCACCAGCACTAGCAACGCTTTAGCGAAGCCGATATGGATGAAGCAAGCGGAAGAGGCCAAGCTGAAGAGCGAGACCGAGAAAGCTGCGGCTGCAAAGGCTGCATTCGAGGCCACCTTCAAAGATGTGAGTAACAAACCAGAAAACCCTGCTCTGGACTCGGACTCGGACTCAGATGAAGAAGAATACGAGAGAGATCTGGCTAACAAGCCCATTGGCCCTGTCGACCCGGCTAAGTGTACCGCTGCTGGTGCAGGCATTGCTGGCGGAACGGCTTGTGCTCCTTCGACCTTCATGGTGGTGGCTAAGGATGCTGATGGAAGGAAGGTGCCTCACGGTGGAGCTCAGATTAAGGTGACGGTGTCCCCTGGAGTAGGTGTTGGGGGAACAGCGCAGGATGGGATGGTGAAGGATATTGGAGATGGCTCGTATACGGTCACGTATGTGGTGCCCAAGAGGGGGAACTATATGTTGCATATAGAATGTGATGGGAAACCCATCATGGGTAGTCCATTCCCTGTGTTCTTCAGTCAAGGTAACTCCAGAAACTGTAGTTAGGACTTTGTTGTAGTGGTGCTTAGTTGTCTGATATATTTGTTTGTAGATATAGATGTGAATTGTGATAACTCGTTAATTATTAGTGTCTAGCTTTTCTGCTTATTGTCATTGCAAGGAATATAGAACACAGCAGATCTTCCTTTCAGTCAATAAGTTTAATTTATTTCTTTGTTCATGGTATGTTGGCTTCATCATGTGCTATCTCTTTAATGTTGAAGTGACCTTGCTTTCAGGATGTGTTGTGTCCTTTTGTCGTGTTAGTTTCTCAGGCTTCCATAGTACTTTACTGAACTCTTTGGGTATGTAATTGTTGTTGTTCAGGCACTTCAACTGGTGGAGTACTTGGTGTGGCTCCTGCTTCGACATATCCAAACCTTGTCAATCAGACTATGCCCAATATGCCTAATTATTCTGCATCGATGTCTGGGTCTCTCCCTGGACTGTTAAGTATGATTCCAGGAATTGTTCCTGGTCCTTCCGGTGGTGTTGTCTTGCCAGGAATTGGAGCATCACTTGGGGAAGTTTGTAGGGAATTTCTTAATGGTCGATGCACTCAATCGGATTGCAAGCTGAACCATCCTCCCCACAACTTACTGATGACTGCATTAGCAGCAACCACCACAATGGGCACTCTCAGTCAGGTGCCTATGGCACCTTCAGCTGCTGCTATGGCTGCTGCTCAGGCTATTGTTGCTGCTCAAGCTCTTCAAGCTCATGCTGCTCAGCTGCAAGCAGCACAGTCTAGTAAAGATACATCTGGTAGCTCTTCTTTTTTGCTGTGGTGTTCTTGCCTGTGACGTGCTTCAGATTTATTTTCTGCTTGGATTATGTCCGTGTTTTTTTTTGTGCTCGCTTGTAGAATTTAAGTTCTGCGATTATTGACATAGATTGTTTGTTCAATTAGGTCCATCTGACAAAGTTGGCAAGGACGAGGCACTCAAAAAGACGCTCCAAGTTAGCAATGTCAGCCCACTGCTGACAGTTGAACAGCTGAAACAACTTTTCAGCTTCTGTGGCACGGTTGTGGAATGTACACTTACTGATTCAAAGCATTTCGCATACATAGTGTACTCGAAACCCGAAGAAGCAACCGCCGGTTTGGCACTGAACAATATGGATGTTGGTGGACGTCCTCTGAATGTGGAGATGGCTAAATCACTTCCCCCGAAACCAGTTGTAAACTCTTCAGCGTCCTCTTCTTCTCTGCCTGTGATGATGCAGCAAGCTGTTATAATGCAACAGATGCAATTTCAACAGGCTTTACTTATGCAACAGACAATGACTGCGCAACAAGCAGCTAATCGTGCTGCAACCATGAAGTCTGCAACAGAGTTGGCTGCTGCGAGAGCTGCAGAGATAAGTAAGAAGCTAAAAGCTGATGGATTTGTTGATGAAGAAGAACCTAAGAAAGAGAAGTCGAAGTATGTCATCCTGTCTATTAGACCATGTTATTTTTTGCTTTGTGTGTTTCTTTGCTGTACCTTAAGTGTGAGAATGGAAATGATGGAATTTGAAATTGGCATTTGTTCTCCTGATCTGGTTGGATCACAAACTTGGTCCAGTTTTATGTAGATCAGCCTTTCGCAAGTGTTAACCTATCTTGATTGGTTTTGCCTTTCCTTGGTAACTCTAAACATATTTATATTCATATGCCTCAGCATCGATATTCATTGTGATAATTCCATGTCATACCTTAGACATCTTGCATTTTCTTTATCAACTAATGAGTTCACTGATGTTTCAAGGTCGCCATCACCTCCTCGAGTGAGGTCCAAGTCGAGGTCCAGATCACCAATCAACTATCGGAGAAAGCGAAGGTCTCCTTCTTACTCACCTCCGCCACACCGCCGCAGGGAACGTAGATCTAGGACACCCTTGAGATCTCGGAATTACTCGAGGTACGACAGTGGTAGGCGTTCTTTCAGAGATCCCAGAGATGATAACGGCAGAAATAGGAGAAGGGATTTGGATAGATCTTATGACCGTGATTTTTCTGCTTCAAAGCGACACAAGAGTCGAAGTGTGAGCCCTCGAAGAAGAAAATCCTACCGGGAGGAATCAGGTTCTCCAAGACGGCACCGTGATAGTCCACCACACAGGACAAGGAAATCATCTCGTGGTGGGTCAAGATCACCAAGGCGTCACCGAGCTAGCAGGTCATCTCCTAGAATTGATGGTAATAGCAAGTTGAAACAAAGGGAGCGCTCTCTCTCTAAAACTCCAGAAGAGTCCAATGACAGGACAAATGGAGCCCAAGATGAAGAAATAAAGCAACAGGAAAGGAGATCGAGATCACTTTCTAGTGAATCCAGGCCGGTTCAAGGTAAGTCCTCCCCAACGAGCTCAAATGATTCTGATCAAAAGCAGAAGAGGAGGTCCAGGTCTAATTCCATAGAGACGAAGCATCATGTGGATGAGAAATTGGATGAGAGTTCTAAAGGTGGAAGTTCCAGACGTCGTGGAAAGAGGTCTCGATCACAATCAGCAGAACGTGGTCACAAGTCTAAAGAAAAAGGAACTGGAAGCAGAGATAAGAAGTCAAAGCATCGTGACAGAAACCGTTCAAGATCCTTATCAGCAGAAGATAAGCATCACAGAAAAAGTAGGTCATCCCCAAGAGGCAGGGATGGTGATAGATCAAAGCATAGAAGGCACACCAATTCAGCCTCTCCAGATGGTGAAAAAACCAGGCACCAAATAGATGAGAGCAGGGATAGAAAACTTAACCATCGCAGCAGAAGAAGGTCAAGGTCAACTGAAGGCAAGAATCACAGATCTCCTAGAGAGCTTGATGAATATGAATCGAAGGAGAAGAAGCACTTAAGGTCTAAATATGCAGAGCGCAGGCGTCACTCAAAAGATGGCAGGGATAGAAAGAAGGATGATAATGTGTCTGATAATGAGGGCAGGTCGCACAGAATTAAACATCATACTAAAGAGAAAAGTTATATTGAAGAAGACTCTTCAAGGACTAGGGATGACGGAATGTTGCGGTCAAAAGAAAAAGACCTTCATTTGAATCAATCTGTAAAAGACATGATAGCAGAAGATGGTGAGAATCAAAATGGTAGTTTTACGCCAGATGGTAATACTGATGGGGAAGGTGCAGTACCATTGACTGAGGATCCATAGCATGGGTATGTCTACTGCTTCAAAATGGGGGACATAAATGTTAGGTTTATTTGATCTTGACGAAATTGGTGATTGCTTGGTGTGGTTTGCAGGAATCATGATGCCAGGAACATTGGATTTCAGAGGTCAGCATGGCTGGAAAATGGCAGAGTTGATACATGCAATATCAGAACTGGGAACAGCCATCTCATGATTCGGCCAATGCTGACGAGAGTTGTGTTGCGATATTTGAAAGCTAACGGGGGAAGCGGAGAGGGCCTCTTTGCTTTGGATAAGGGCTGTTTTTGAGAAGACTTGTTAGAGTTTCTTTGGTGCTAGGATTCTCTGCCAGTAGCTGGTTCCTTATGAACATGCACCTTTTTTTTTTGTTTGCTATCTTTGCAGGTCCATACTGACTGGGTTGGAACTAGCCCTTGGGCCCGAGCTGACTTGATATGGCCAAGTATCCCAAGAGCTATGGCCATTTGCATCTCTACCTACAATGTTTGTAGCCTATAACTGCTAGATGTATGTGGAGCTTCTTCTATTTCTGCCTTCTGGATATTTTGGATAAAGTATTGCTTTCAACAGTTTGTGCATTTACCTTGCTTTTAGTTAGAGTGTGAATGATGTTATTGTGGGAAAGGCTGGAGAAGGTGCTTTGTCTTTCATATAGTGAAAGATGGTGGATCTTTCACTTGAAAGGCCCTTCTCGATATGTTTTGCATGCTTTCTTTAGTCCACTTGTAGGCTATGCCTTTGGTGATTATCATGTGACAGTTTAGACGTAGGTTCCAATTTTTCCTACCTTTGTGGTTTAGTGGACCAGTCATATACCAAATACGTGCAGGTTCAACAAGCTGCGTTACTGAGATCAAGTGAAACCAGATAGTTCTCATTTTCCCTGAGATCTGGAATGTTGACATAATAGTGATCCAAAAAGTAGAGGTATGAAGCCATGTAGTGGGAGCTTCTATACTAAGTTTCCTACTTGGTGCTCTTATGAATTATGATTAATAACGAATTGCATTGGATAGAATTGGCAGTGTTCAAGTAGCTTGTGAATGCTGTTATAAACCCTGGTGCCTTATTTCTTCTGGTCTTTTTTCTTTTTGTTTTCCTTTCCCCCACCCCCTATTCTCTCCTTTCCCTTCTTTTCTCCTTCCAAGGTATATGGTTTGGTTAGTGAAGCTACTTTTGAGGTCAAAGTGAAGCTGTGGCAGGGGTGAATAGGCGCGGAGTTTTGCTGTGCTCAAGTATGTGAAGATTGGCCAACTCCACTGTTCGATCATGTATTTCAGCAGGTAATATTTTCGTTAAAATTCCCTGGGAGAAGAGCAGGGTTCTCAGGATATGAAGCTCTCATTTTCTATCTTCCATGTGCGCACTTGGATCGATCAACAGTGTGTTCTCCAGTATCTGTGTGGAAATTGTTTTGAGTTGATTGTGCTTTAGGTCATCTATACCTTGGTCCTATGGAATGGAAGAGTGATCAATGATGCTTATGGGATAGGGCTTATTGTTGTTTTACTCTTTTGAGACCTGTGAAACAGATGGATACAAGGAGAGGCTGCAGGAGCTGGACGGTCTTGCCAGCCACCGGAGTTGGAGCCTTTCCGGAGTGATTTTTCCATCTCCGCCCCAAAGCAGTGCTCTTGTTTTCCGTTCAATTTGGTTTTACTCGGTCTGCTATTTTTTCGAGTCGCATTGTCACATCTCAAGTAGCTCTGCATACTGCAACCAGGCTACGGTGCATCAGCGGGCACCCTATGCGTCGCGCGTCGGGCAAAAACGCTAGGAGATCAGTTGTATAGGGAGCCCCTGGATTCGCCGGCCGATTAGATGAGGTGGTGACACTCTTGAGGAGAATTGTTAGATAGCATTTGTTTCACTTAATTACTTGAATCATTCAGTTTTGGTAATAGTAGTTTGCCAAATGGCAAGTCTTGATTGGATGGAAGGACTATACTCCTCCCATCCAACGTATCTGTTGAAGGGACGAGAACACCATTGTCAAGAAGTACAACAACCTTTCATCCCAGTTTCCCCTTCCTGGTGCCCTTTTCTTCTCGACTCTGTGTCCTCCGTTTCGGGTATCGAATCATACCGATGCTCGACCTAGCTGACAAATGCTGCCTTGTTATAGAGTGATCTTCCAATTAGATTTCAAGGTTGCTGCCGTTATCTCAATGGCTTCAAGTTCAAGGCATAGGGGAAGCTAGGTAGGTAAGCAGCAAGACCTCTCACTCTCTCTTGATGTCAAAATCTGTCGAAAAAAGCGCAACTTGAGCATTGGATGGCCTTCAAAGGTCATAATTGAGCGCGATGACACAGGCGATGGAACCAAAGATCACGGAAGATCGGATTGAAACTACACCTTTCCATTCCATCCTAAAGTTGCCGAAATTTGTAGGAACCAGGAAAAGAGTTTTATTTGAGGTTTTGAGCACAAACCCAACAGAATAGTTGAATTGAATATTCTTTCTTGGTGACAAAAAGGAATGGGGTGAGAGAGGCTCGAACTCTCGACCTCAGGATCACTCTTTGGCTATGAGACCTACGCGCTAACCAACTGCGCCACCACCCCTTGTTGACATTGAATTAAAGTTTACCTTATATTTGTTATTGTATCTTGTGATTGTGCTCCAAGCATACGCAATTACTCGAGTAAGTACACAGAGATATATTTGTTAATTGGGAAGATCGGCTCTTTACTCACCACCTTCCCCTAAAAGTCTCCACAATAACTGGTGATGTTTGGTGGAGTCATATTTTAATTTTCTCCCTTGCTTTGCCAATTGTGCGTCTTTTTCACTTGAACGATGACCAAAGGAAAATGTCCAATTTTTGCCAGGCGTGGATCATGCTTTCCTATTTTATTCTATTGTTAATATTGTGAATAAATTCTTGTTCTGGACGATGACTCCATTGAAGCAGGGGGCTGCGTCACGCACTGCTTTGGACCAGACAAGTGCGGAGTTAGGATTTCGAGATCGGGGGGCCGAAAATGATTAAACAAAATGTATGTAGTCATGGGGATCAAACCCGTGTGTTTTAAAACACAAGTCAAGCTTATCTTCCATTAGACTACATGACTATTACACAACAACATTAACGGAACAAGTTGTACTTATAAATTTCGTACTAAATATCCTTACGATCCTAGGGCCGGAACCTATCCCGGAGGGGCCGGGGCCCACCCTACCTTAAGTGTAGCTCCGCCCCTGGGATCAGATCATCTCGAACCTAATATGATACGGTCCGGTCTTGTAGGTTTTATAAATACTGAAGAAAAATGAATCAAACTGATATTTGGATCGGATTAAATCGAATCGATGCAATGAAAATCCAATTTTTGATTAAAAAATATATTTCACTATCGAACCACGATTTTCATAGTTTCTTACTCCATTTACTGCCCAGTGATGATGAAACCTCCAAAAGTACAGGAACATGTAACTACTCCGATAAGTACATGATTTGCCAGCTCTCCATGCAGTGCTTCACATGTATTCTCCTCACGAGGAAGAAAGAATCTGCAGCTATAAGTACACAAATATATATAATAATAATTAGGTGGCGATGCCGCGCATTGTCGCGGGCGGAGATGGCCTATGAACATGTATTATGTGGTCAGTTATAGTGTTGTTAGTATTATTAGCCTAAAATTAATTTTTTGTTAGTAATATTGACTGAGAAAAGATATATGACGGTCATCAACATCCAATTTAATTTGTTTAAATTTTTTTGGCTAATACATGATATTTACCTAAACCCAAGTAGACCCATTTATTATGGCCTTATGGGTAGGGTATGGGTGACGTATATATGGGTTTGGAAGTTTGTAGATGGGTTTGGTAAGATATGAATATTTACTTTCATAATTTAAATGTATTGAGTTGGGTATGGATACAATTTATTCGAGAGTGTTTTAATTACACATACAAAAATAAGACTTGTTTATAGATGCCTAGCCAAACATTTCATGTATATTTGTTGAAAATTCTAGCCAGGGTGAAAAAAGAAAAACTCTAGAGAGAAGCAAAAGGAATACAAACTGGAACTCGCTTAAAATTTCACGCCATCAAATCTCATAGTGGAAAATGACGACTTTCTAATAAGTAATAACCATATATATATATTTTTAATTGGACTCGACATTGAGCTGAAAAAGTAAGTGGTTCATGGTTCAATTATTAATTCTCTAGAGTGTTTGGTCAGTTGTGTAAGGACCCGTTCATATTGTGATTAAAATACATAAAAATAGTATACTAATTAGGGTTTGACGAAGAAGGCAAAGAAAGAAAGAAAGAAAGGGTTATGGAAGGCGAGTGAAAATGAAATGAAGAGGAAGTAGATGAAGGAAAGGTTTTGACCAATTCTTTTAGTTGGTCGTCAATACAACAATCAACAATTTTTGCCATAGCAATTTATTGGCACTTGTTTATGTAGATGTCGCATATTTTGTTACATGTAGTTAGTATAAGTTTGTTTAATACCCCATAAATGTACTAAATGAGTTTATAAATTCGCTCTGCCAAAATTTTAGGGTAGTCTCTCTTTTATCATTTATTTAATATTTCACGTAATGAGCAAATATAAAATGGTCGAATCTTCTTCTACAATTGAGTGATACACCATCTTGTATGGACATATGGTACAAACTAAATATATACTTTTATGTTATGGTGGATTGGATTCATGGATTTGTTCAAAAGGATTGGTGGATTGGATTCAAGTGAAATCCAAACATTGGACTAATATGTAAATTTAAAAAATTGTAGGTACAAAAAACTCATAAAATTTAGATAACAAAACATAATTGTATAATGATTTTACGTTAAAAATAAATTTGGAGTATCAAAATGTACAATATAGTGACTAAGTTGTAATTTAATTAAATTTGAGTATCAAAATGTAATTGTTTATGCAACAGTAACCCACTTTACGTTTATATATTAATTAATAATAATTATTTAATTTTTGGATTGTTGTTGATTGAATAGTACAAACCAATAAGTCATGTGATATGGTAGAGCTATCATGCAGATTCCTATATAAAAAAAAGTGATATGGTAGAGGGTAGAGACCAAGGTTGTCAACCCGCGAGTCGACTCACTTTGACCCTGACCCGGTAAGAAAAACGGGCCGCACGTATATGTCAGGTCGATCGCTACTAGGTATCGGGTTGGAGGTCGAATTGTGTCATTTTTTTCTTTAGTTTGCGAAATGCGCCTATTTTTCAATTTTTCTTTTCGCCTAACTCAATCTTTGGAATCCTTAGTTGAACATTTGAATATTGATGTTATATAAGTGTGTGTGAATTTTCACTATATGTTGGATCTAAGCACGACATATTACTTTGGTGTAATGTTATTGCTCAAATGTTAGATGAGATTTGATATACTTTATTAGGATAAGTATATTATAATGACTCTTTATACATTTCCGGGCTAAAACGGGTGATCCATTAACCATTGACCCACTAGCTCAATCGGATATGGTAAACCCACAAGTTGACAACCTTGGTAGAGACTCAGCGCTAAATCTCTTGTGGTTATTTTTCAATTGGGAAGGGAAGATCAATGGTGGGGCTCTTTAGTCACCACCTTCCACTAAAGTCTCCATAATAGCCGGTGATGTTTGTATATTTCTCTATTGCTTTCTCAATTGTGTGTCATTTTCAGTTTTCACTTGAATGGTGACCAAAGGCAGATTCTCAAGTTATATATATTCAATTTTTCTCATTTCTAATCGAATTTTGAATGGTGTCGAAGCAATAAGATCCCAACTGCAATCAGTTAAATAAAAATTAGTGAAGTTGATGATAAATCTAATGACCAGATAGTTTTCATGTTGTCATGAATATCGAAGAAGTAAATCGACACAATATACATATCAGTATTATTTGTTTTTCAATATACAACCTAAATCATCATCATCTTTTTGTTTGTGAGTTTTTTTTTTATGAACGCCAAATATGCTAAAGGTCAATTATATGACAAATTCTGGCAAATAACAAGTTGAGATTCGTCAAACAGTCGAACCTATAGACATATAATACGATCTTATTACAACGACATCGTTGCAACTGAATGATGGGCAAACGATTTTAGGAGACATGAAAAAAGAATTTCAAATGCTTTTTTTCTTCTTGGGTTGTTGTATTATTCCTAAAATCATTCCATATTTTGTATCTCAACGACTTTGATCAAGTTGGGAGACTAGTAGCTCAACCCACGACTTATTATTATTATTATTTTTTTATAACTACCCACGACTTTTTTTTTTTTTTTTTAACTACCCACGACTTATATATTATACAAATGAAATTGACCTAAGCCCAACCACTCCCCAGCTCCCTTCTCTAATCTCTATGCTTTATTCCCTCAATTACAAACCTCAGAATATTCACTTCTTATTATTGTTAATCCTTAATTACGGACTTAGCAAATAGACAATTTTGGTTTAACGTATTATTACTAGGGGTACTGAACAAACACACCTGCAAACCGACTCACTCGTCTAACCTGAACCAACCCACCCGTATTTATCGCTAAATCAAAGGTTTTGAGTTGAGTGAGGGTTTTCTTTTGTACAACCTGCATCTTTTGGGTTGGGTTTGAATTTTGGATTACACAACCCGTAGAACCCGACCCAACCCGTGTTCCAACTATTGGTATGAGTTTGTATCTAAAAAATATTTTTGTCATATATAGTCATACTTATGAGAAAATTAAGATATTTCGACATGTTTTTTCTCTCATGGTCTCCCTAATCTAATGCATTCTTCGGCTTAAAGTTTAGACATAAATTTTAATATATCTATGATTCTCGTAATCCTTTTTCTTGTGTACAATTTTAATAGAATAGCATATTATGGATGCGTTCGTTTATAACCTTTTTAGCATATTTCAACAAACATCGTGAAAAAAAACTAGACATATGTTGAAGTAAATCACATTTTATTAAAATTCAAACAACATTTGTCAAATTTTAATTAGTTATAAAATATTTTATGATGTAGAATAATGACATATTTTGTATTGGGTTGGGTGTTTACTTAAAAATATCACCAACCCGACCCAACCCAACCCAGTTAAAAACAAACCGTATGGTTTAAATTTTTTTAGGTAGGTTTGAATTTAATATTTCTCAAACCATAATGCATGAATTGGGTAATTAAAATGACTAAACTCGAACCACTGTACACCTCTAATTATTACTTCTTCCAGGCTGGTGGTCTCGTCTTCTAGGTGAAGCCATTCTCATCCTTCCCCTTCCGGCCTCCCCAGGTTGATGTTGGTGCTTGGAGCGTCGTTGGACCGTGGAGGGCTGAGTCTTCTCCGGTTGCTGCGGTGGGAATCGGTTCTTGTGTGGCGGGTTGTGGTTTTTCCAGGAAGCTCGGCTCCCATTTGAACATGACCTCGCTGTCGTGGCCCCTCTGCCTTCTCAGCTTGGAGCAATCTGCTTCACAGCCTCTTCCACCGTCAAGCAATCTCGTGTTGTGATTCACTGTGTTGGATGTCTTGAACAATCCTCAGGAGACGGCTAATGGCATTGCTCGTCAATTCGCCATGGATCTCGTTGTGATCCGACAAGCTGTTTTGATCTTTTTGCCCTTTGGTTTGGTTGGGAGAGAGAGGGTTTATGAAAAGTTCTGCGGTTGTTTCAAGAGCTTGGCTGGTTGATGTGTGATGTCAATCTAGGCCTTGCTTTTCCCTGACGTATTTTCCCAGGCTTAGTCTGATATCATCTTGTGTTCTCTTGTTGCCTTGTTCTTGGTTTGAATCTGGGTTTTTTGTTCCCTCTCTGTGACCTTCATTTCAAAGAGCAATAAAGATCCTTTGGTAAAAAAAAATCACATGGCTCTTTCCACTGTACTGCAATAGCTAGCCACCGCCTTTTCCGCCACCACCTCGATGTTCATTACATCGTACAAACAAAGTTTGCAGCTAAGTCTGTCTTAAGTTAACCAATCAAAACAATTCCTTCTCCCTAAATTAGCTGGCATTCGTGTATTGTATACTTATATATTGTTTATCATTAACATTAATACTGCTGTTATTATATCATTATTAGTGCAGTACAGATCTGACACAACAACCTTAGCACTTGTCTTCTTTTGTTAATTCGCCTATCTCATGTGCAGAAGCCCTGGCCAACTGTAGCTATAGCTGGTGGAAAGTAAAGCAAGCACAGATTTGCAAGTGAAGCAGGAAAGCGAAATGAAACTTCAGAATTTAATTATGGGTTGTTTGTTTGGTGGATTTGGTGATGGATTTGAAATTATTATGGACTTTGTCCAAATCTAACGCTTAAACTAGACTATATTGAATCGAATATAATGCGGTCGGTCCAATGATTTCATAAATACTGAAAGAAAATGGATCGCATCAAATGAGATTAAAAGCAATAATGATCCAGTCGTTGATGCTAAAATGTATTTCACTGTTGAATCGCGCGCGATTCTCGCTCAGCCCATTCTAGACTTCACTCCTCACCTTCACCACATACATCATCTTCGATTAAGAGCCAATCATATACTCAGTCTTCTCAATATTTACCACCTCATTAATATACACTAGTTTTTGGGTTGGTTGTTGAAGATTACAAATCAATTGTAAAATAAGTCAGTCGAACGATGACCAAAGGAAAAATGTCCAATTTTTTGCTAGGCGTGGATCATGCATCCAGAGTTTCGACCACTATTTTTATTTTATTTTATTTATGTGTATAAAATTTTCTTTTTGACGAGGACTGATCCCAGCTTATGAAAGCAGATGCAGATATACGAGTCTGTTTTTCTTTTTATATAAATAAATATATATGATATGGGTTTGGTATTTTATTTACGGCCTACTTTAGATATGTGAATATGGAACCTTCATATTCGTTATGAATCGGCTTTTATACTAGGGCAATGTCTATTTTTTACCCAAACCTTTTTCAGATTCTTTTATTTTAACCAAACCTATTGAATTCCTAAAAATTATTCCAACGTTAACTCTCCGTCAACTTTTCTGTTAGTAATGCTGACTAAGTATGACCATAATGAGTTGACTTCCTACGTGGCGGTCAGAATACCATCATTTACTATTTTTAATAAAAAGATTATCAAAAACAAAACAAAATCCCACCTCTCACGTGGACGAAATAAGTAACGGTAACAGAATGAATGCCCAGACTTTGATAAATTATAATACGTTTGGATAATAAATAGAATTTCTATAAGTTTGGTTAAAATAAAAGAATCTGAAAAAGGTTTGGGTAAAAAATAGACATTGCCCTTTATACTACACAGAATACTGTTTTGTAACGAACATGTTCCAACATTACTACAATGGGGGGAGCTAGGGCTGTTCTCTTTGGTATGGAATGATAAGAAAAGCCGCAATGCAGGTTACAAAGTTATATATGTTCGATTTTCCTCATTTTCAATAATATATGTGTCGACATATTTTGTCATTCAATATACAGCCTATATCATGCCTTTGTCGGTGAATTTTTTTATTCACACCAAAGTTTTCGCCTGGATACTAATTTTTCATTGTTTGCTCATTACGATTTTCATGACGATGTCAAGTTCTGCTCAAATGAAAGCTCTTCACTTACGTGTATATCATATCTAAGTTGACGGTCCGTTACATGTCGAACTCTAATATGAAACAAAGTCGTGATTCGTCGAGTAGTCGAACCTAAGGAAGTACGATGCAACCTAATGATGGTCAAATGGTTCGAGGTGATAATAAACAAAAATAATATCAGATGTTTTTTTTTTTTGTTTTTGTTTGGGTTGTTGTATTATTCCTAAATAAATCATTTTCACACCCTCCTTTGATCCCAACAACAACTTGGATCAAGTTGGGAGACTAGTAGCTCAACCCACGGCTTGTTTTTCAAATTAACATTGACCTAATTTAGCCCAACCACTCCCCAGGCCAGAATCCCTACTCTATACTCTACTCCTTCAATAACAAACCTCCGAATATTCACTTCTTATTATATATTGTTGATCCTTAATTACGGACTTGACAAATAATATATAACTTAGGGTTTCACGTACTATTATTATTGTTAATCCTTAATTATGGACTTGATCACATGGCTCTTCCACTCTACTCTCCGATCCATCTCCCACTGCCGCAACAGCAACCGCCGTTTCCGCCACCGCCTTTATATTTATTTTTTTTTGGTAAGAGCCACCGCCTTTATATTAATTACACTGTATAATAACCCAAGTCTTTGTCTTAAGAACTGATAAATACAATTTTTTTTTGCCCTTAATTAATTAGATGAAGAATCCGCGCAACTACCGATGTATTCTTATTGTTTAATTAATAATATTTTAACCTCTCCCAACAATTTGACCTATTGAAATTAACCGGTTCTTGACATGGTATCAGAGCTTTCAATGACCGTAATGTTTTGTGTTTGAATCTCGTTGGCCCTCGTTTATCAAGTAGTGCATGATACTTGGACTCGCGTAAAAATTATAAACCCATATGAGTTTACTTTCATCTGGCAAAGAAGTATTTACGAAAATGATATAAGATCCATATATAATCGAATCTCTTGCCAACTGTTCGAATTATTGAGACCAACGGCAATTTCTCTTGCGTATATATAACTACCTTGCAGCATAGTTAGTAAATACTCCGATTAATACACGTATATGCACCCGTACGTACTTTATCCGTTTAAAACTTCCGTATCCGTATTATTGTCAAGCCGTTTCATTTTTGTCCGTTCATTTGATGGCTCCCGTATTAAACACGTATAAAACCCGTATAATACGTTTAATATCCGTATTTAATGAATTAAATTACTAACTTTACTATTATTTATATATTTATTTATTTTTAAAATGATTAATTTTTCTATATTTATGAAAATTAACGTACTATTAAACGTAACATTAGCATACAGACGAAGTAAAATACCCGTACGTATTTTATACGTAACATTCTCGTACCGTATTTTACTACGTGCAAAAATGCAACGTTGCACGCTTTAGGAAAAAGATCAGATAACGTTATACGTTTAATTTTTAAAGCTCACATCCAACAAGTGGAAAAAGTAGAATTGCCTGATTGATGCTCCATAGTTTGACAGAACCATCATCGCTCCCACTAGCCAACAGCGTAGGATCTACAGATGAGAAGTCAATGGACCAAACACGCTTCTCGTGCTCTCTCATTTCAGTAACTACCTGACCTCTTGAAGCATCCCATACCTACACAAATTTATCATAAAAGGTACCCCTGAACATGGTTAAGCAACTTCTTTCCATCTTTGGCGAACAAAATATAAAAGGTCGAAATAAGGTTCGCCAACACACCTGCACCACGCCTTCAAAGTTACTTGAAGCAAGTTGGCTTTTAATATAGCTGTTCCAACATATACTGCTCAGTTTCGACCTACTAGCCATCTCAACAACTGGGTAGTGGATATCACGGTTCTCATTTATGATTGCATCACACTCGAACACTTTTATCTTCTTATTTACACCAGCAGCAGCGAAGAATTCCCCATCACGTCAAAACTCAAGAGCATACTAGGTTGGAAGAGTTCAACATATCTCCTTGCTTCACATTCGCCTTGACTTTAAGCTTACTCAGAGATAAGTATTTGCACAAACCCTCAAGGAATGGACTAATCCATCCAGTTTGTCTGGCCACAACATGCGGGGCTCTTGGTTGTAACCCACTAATGGAGCTTCTTTCACTCGCTACAACAGAACCTCTTCCATCACTGCTGACTTGGGAATGTCTACCAACCGATCTTCCCAGTGGCCTAACTGCTGCCAGTGGTCTGCATCTTGTCAGCAGATAAGCTGCCTCTAATTTCTTGATGTTCTTCATGAGCCGTGAGTTTTTAAACAGTAGACTTCCTTGAGCTTGTGATGGCATCATACTAGAGTTTTGAACATCCTCCATGTTATCATCAGATTCCTCAGCATTAGTCTGATAGCCAGGTCGACATCGTTTTCGAGAACCCAGGCCGAAAAAATCATCTGTCTGAGACGGGTTCATGAGCAGGAGATCAGAATCTAGAAGATCTTCCTTCCCTTTTTCTGCAGCGGTGCTTACATTATTCCCGTGAAAGGATGGATGCTTCACGACCTCTTCAATATCAGAGCACAAAAGAGAAACAGTGTCTTGCAACTTATCAGCAGCTTCCTGTTTCCTCAGTTGTATCAATAACAGGAACTCGAGCAACAGATCTTGCTCTTCTATTCTCTGTCTCAGCTGTAGGGCTGCTTCACGCTCTACTAGTTTATCTTTTGGTTCAGCAAGGAACTCGCTCTGCAACACATCCCTGTTTGTAGAGGAGACAAATAATGAGAAAACTCTGAAGAGCAAGATTGTTCTGTGTACAAAAGCAAGATTGTTGAAGTCTTGCAAGTAACACATAGGAAAACAGAAACTAAAGGCAAAGGGGGCATAAAAAGGTAACACATTACTGAATCCATCAACAGGTGTTTGGTTGGGTGTATTTAACATAATATTATTTGCAATAGCATGCAATTGAACAAACATATCGTTATTTTCGACACTTATCATCTATTTGGATGCATTTACGATTCCAAGTGCAATCCCTATGCATCACTGTCAAATACTTGGAAGTAGGGAGTATCTGAAAATGCATTCTAGAAAAGTGAGCTCCACATGACTTTCTACATTTCTGACAGAAATTATATACACAAATGCACTAAACCAAAAACATGTTATTACGAATACACCTTGCACATTGAAATACAAAATGAATAGCATGTAATTGAGACAAATAACACCAAACCAAACACACCTTTAAATATGAAATGTTTACTCACCTCACGCTTGGCCGACTGCTAGGCTCCGGATGCAGCAACCATAAGCAAAATGAAGCTGCTTTTGGCCACCTCACAGCAGTTGGGGTGGAAGTACTCGGTGCCTCAAACTAGACATAGTTCTGCTCTTATCTTCCCTTGAATTGAAAGGGCAGAACAACTGTCCATCAATTGGACTACATAGCATCAGTGTAGAAAGAGAAAATAGCAGAGTATGAAGCTTCAAATCCAGACAACCACTAGCAAAATGAAGTAAAATAAACAAGTACAGATGGTTCCATACAAATTAAAAACCTCACCTCAAACAGAAGCACACCAAGCCGATATATATCTGATGCAATGAGCTTGTCGAACCAGCAGCCTCTTCGGGACTGGTATACCAACCAGTCTCCATAAGCAAAACTTCCTTCATTGGGAAGAGTTGTTGCTTTCTTTCTCCTTCCCCAACATTCCTATTATTATCTTCTTCATTGTCCTCTGCTAATGGCACTCTCCCACAGGCTGAACTTGATTGAATGCAGCTAGTTTCAGAGAAAGCATTTGTTGAGACAGGCCGAAAATCCTCACTTCCACCAGCACTCTTCTGCTTCTGGGAGATGGCAAGAAGCAAAGGAGAGAATGAATCTCTAAGCTCAAGGCCCTGGTTATTATTCAACCCATCTTCTAAAGAATCAGACCCAGAATCAGAACAAGAAGCAGATTCAATGAAAGAGACATGGTTGAAGGAGGACATATAGAAGCAAGAAGGTCGAACATTGTTGACTACAATCCCTTGAGAATGTGCTATATTTACAATGTCAACAATTTGAGAGAATATGTGCAAACACTCGTATTCCTCAACAGATCTTTCAGGTTTGTCCAACCAGTGTCTCAAGCTAACATCACCTCCCCACCTCATTGCCTAGACAAATTGATCCAGAGAAACTTCATCCTCCAGGTGAAGTGACCTGATGGCTCAAGTTATGGCTTCCCGCTGCCACCCTAACAGCCTCCTCCCCTGAATTGAAATTAAGCAACACAGGTATTTGAATCCAGCCGGCAGCTACAAAGCTCTTAGATTCTATAGCACTATCAGACTTCAATCGCGCAGAGTCAGGCGAGTGCTCCATGGTTACTTCCGTGGAACACATTCAAGCCAGAAGAACAAGAACACCTAAGAAGTAGAGAAACTCCCCAAGTTCTACCAGGACCTCTACTTCCAACAAAGACCATCTTCAGTTTCAAATGCTCATTCCCATGGAAGAAAGCAAAAAAACCCTTAAGCACACAGTTGTGTGGCATGCACAAACTTCCTGTTGTGCAATAAAGAACAGATACAATAAGCACAAGTAGAATCATGATAAAAAACAAAGTAAAGTAAGAGCAACGAAAGAAAGCGCAGAAAAGGGCACAAGGAACCATTGATCAATAAAGACTTGCTTCTGATTTTCAAGATAAGATAAACTATTGATCACCAATATCAGAATTCACATATAAAGCCACATTTCAGGCTTCAACCAAGAAAAGCAAACAGTACAAGAACACAAGTACACAACCACACCGCAGTAAAGATTACTCACCAAAAAACCCCTCAACTCCTTCAACACTACCCTTTTGTCACCTGCACTCTACACAACCATAACCACCATCACAACCAAAGAAAGCTCAGTAATTGATCAACAGTACAATCCTGATAGAGAGAAAGAGAGAGAGGCAGAAGAGAGGAAACGTACCAGAGATTCAGTGAAGGAAACAAGATGAAGACTCCTGAACCACACAAAACAATAATATCACCAACACTGCTACTGCTGCAGCTTGAGACAAATTATAAGAAAAGCAAGCATTGTTGAGAATTGACAACCTCAGAAGAATTTCTGATCTTTTTCCCCCCTCCCACCCCTCCCTTTAATGTGGGTTCTCTGTTCTTTTCCTCACCACTAGAAAACAAAGGCAACACCCACAAACAAAAACCTACATGCAGATTTGGGAGGAGAAACTGGAACAAAAGGGAGCCTATAAAAGAAATCAGAGCCAAAATAAAAAAGCACACTTCTTGTATTCTACACCATTGCTTCTTCATCAGGAGGCCCTACGGCTATGCCAGCCAACCGACTACAATTTCATTTATGATGCAAAGATTATTTTTTTATAAAAATGGTGGGCTGAAGTCTTGGAAGTGTTATCTGTTTATGGACTATGGAAGCATGAGGTTCACTCGCTCTGTGGCCATTCATTATCTTTTTTCCCGCTCTATTCACATCTCAACGACGTGGCGCCACCATCACCTCAAATTCAACTGCAGCAGCCTGCAACCCAATATCATTGTTTCTTCTTTTTTTCCTTTTCTTTCTGATATTTATATCTAAAAGATCCCATTTTTCTTTCCTGGAAAACAGACGGAAAGTGCGAGTATTCTATTTTTCTCCCCCTCGAAAAGATCCACTGGAGGTTGTCTTAGAGGGGAAAAACATTAAAAAATGAAACATGCCTAATAGGGCAAGTTTCTTACTTCCCATTTCTCAGCTCCCATTTGGATGGATTAAAGTATATGGTTTGTGATCCCCTAGGATTGAGTTTTACGATTAATTTAGCAATAGTGAGTGATGATCACTCACGCTAGTTAACAAACCACAAACTTGCTCAATCATTGTATCGGTCACCAAAAGAATGTTTCGGGTTCGTTTTTTTTTTTTTTACTTGTTTACCAATTGGATGTCACTAGGTAAGACTATCAACTCACTTTTCCATAGTAAACCTTCACCTTAGTTGATATCTTAGAATTCTACATCGTTTTTAGGAGTAGGCCCCTGATACGTTCATCCTCTTAGAGGATTACTAAGAGAGGTTTTGCATTACAGCTTAGCAGACTTCTGCGAAAAACCTTATTTAGGACGATAGATTCCATGAGCAAGAGTTCTTGTCAATGAAACTGGAAACCAAAGCATTAGGGTCACCCCGAGTTGGGTTGGGATCAAGGCGAAAATCAAGCTTGTCAAAAATCCAATTATCCTCCTAGACCCTCATTCAATGATTTGTGACCAATCTCCCACCCTCCATCGTAACTTGGCTTCCAATTACTCTCCAAGATATCAGTGTTTGGAAAATATCTTGCCTTCATTCTTCTAGCCACAAGAGAGGAAGGAAGCCGAAACAAATACCGGAGGTGGCTCCAATCAACGATGAGGCGGGCAACTCACCTGAGGCAAAAGGCAACATTTTCATGGATTGGTGTCCTTGTTTATTGTTGTTCTTACTCTTCTTGATTCAATCTTTGTTAATGAAAACTTGGTTAAGTACTCAATTATGTTAAAAAGAAAATGTTATGCTCTTGGGTATTCGCTGATACCATATGCCAATCAAGTATGATCAAATGATTCGGCTAAATAGATGAACCAACCTTGCGCTACAAGTAAATCTCGCACTTGTTCAAGTAACTTAAGGGACAAACTATATTCGTACGCACTTAAAAGGAAACATGTCGTACCATCGAATGGCCTAATACATCAAGGACCTGAGCTCTTCTCCAACACGCCACCATTGAGCCTGGAGTTATACACAGGGAAGAATTAGAACATCGAAAAGTTTTTTCATCACACAATTAAAACAAAGTCCACCCAACAGAGGGATACACAAGGGCACCAGCTGCCATTGTTTCAGAAACAGAACAAATGCAAATCGGATACGAGTATTCTTTCATTCACAGAATGGGATAGGGTCGCGTATGGAGAAGCTGCTGTTCAGCCCTTCTTGAACTTGAACAGGCAAGAACCAACACACTCTAACCTTTACCATGACGGCAACAAAAAACTGAGGGTGAAACAAAATAGAAAGCCCCAACAGCTATAATCCACAGACAACTCACTCGTTGAATGGCTACCCAGTTACAAATGCCACCTCCCAACCATTAAGTAACCCTCTCTTCGACCCACTTACCGTTTAAACATTTTGGGAGCAGTTCAGCTTTCGGACCCAATAATGGATGACTGATCCTCCATATGAGCTGATGCATCCACGTCAACATCGGCACTGGTTGTTTTGACCTCTTCCATGGCCGGCAGTTTTGTCTTAGATGACAGCTTCTTAACTTCCTCTGTTGTGTAGATGAATATCTTCTTCACCATGCTACAGAACTCGCTGAACACACAAGAAATGTAGAAGTCATCAGGCTTCCACATAAGGCTTACCAGATGGTGCGCACAGATAATGCATGCATTTCAAACGCTAGGATAGTTGGCACAATGAAATTATGCACTTCACAGAGAATGATTCCTTTCAAATATATCAAAACCGTAACTTGGAGCTGAGATTTCAAAATTTTCACCCCTGAGAGAATTATACAATCAACTTATCACTAAAAAGGCGGTCAGTTGATATGTCGCAATCACTATCGCAACTTCCAAATTTATTCTGACAATCAATTGATTTATACAATCACCTTATTTAGATGTATGCATTCTCAAAGACACATTCTTCCAACTACCAAATGATTTATAAAATCTAGTGCCCTTGTATTTTTTGAAATAAATAACCAGCCGTCAAATTGGAAATAGCGAAGGGTAACAATGAACTTACTGCCATGGATCATCTCCAACCATCATCATGTCATCTTCATCATCTGTGTAGACAACCTGCCATTTCTTTGTGTTGCAGCCGCTAAGCTCACCTTCAATATCAAACATATCCTCCAGCTTCCTTAACAAGTCATCATAGCACTCAAATTGTGTCAAATCTACAGCTCTTCCAACAGCAATCCCCTGCATGTGAACCTAGAAACCGATTTCATTACCCGTAATGCAACTGACACAAATATCATACAATGAAATCAGCTAATGATGAACAGCTATGGTTCAGTTATGGCTCATTACAATATCCCTGTGTATTGCAAGTGCAGCTTGCTAACCAAACCAGAACGAAGAAGCATTTCTACATACTGCAAATATTGGACAGAAGAAGGTATATACCTTTTTGCAGCTCCTGACCTGTCTGCTATGTGACTCCATGGGAGATCGTAAACTTGATTTCTCAGGATCACAACTTACTGAAGGGATTTCAGATCTATTGAAATTTGATGGCTCAGACTGTTGGTCAGACTCGGCATCTAGTGACAGAATTGGGCAATCGGCCTGTCCTGGTTTTGAAACAGCACCAACTGGTGATGTTTCCTCCCTATTGCAGTTATCAACCAGCTGAATGCCAAACAACCTGTAGCCATTCCCTGAGCCTTGCTTCATGTCGCCAGAAATTCTGTTAACGGCTGGGGAAAGAGACTCTGTAACACCCTCCACCTGTTTAGGCCAATACATTGACGAAGTGGTGGTAACAGCAGATAATGGACTATTCCCACTGAAGCCAGCTGAGTTTGCCATTGTTTTAACAGGATAAGTGGGTGAATGATATAGGGATCCTCGTTGTGAATCAAGATGCGAATGACTGGAGGGCTCAACAGGTGCTTTCCACATGCCTAATATATTAAGGTGAAAACAGCAAGTTATTGCCACTAGCCGATTCAAATAAAATTGAGAAAGGAAAAACAAGTAAATGACAAACCAAGGGCATTAAGGTCAGGACTCGGTGAAGGCAAAATGGATGGCCGTGACCGCTTGTTAGTCCTATGCATTGGTTGAGAGTTTGAAGGAGCAGTTGCAACAAGTGGCTCCAGTTCCCAAGAAGATACTAGATCTGGTCGCCAAATTGAAGCTGGCTCATCCCATTGGACCTTTTGAACAAGGACAAAAGCAAAACATTGGGAGAAAGATAAAGCTTTTGAGTTTTGCTTCAAATATTTGGACAACTCTTCATCAACACTATAAACAAAGATGAAGAACCAAGAAATAAGACCTCTCACAGCTTTCAACTTTGTTAAGATAAAATGAAGAGATGGAAGGGCCATTAACCTTAAAAGATCTCCATTCAGAATCAGTCCACCCTGATGATAAGTTTTCACCAACACCAACAATTGTGCCACTGAACCTGTAGTTTTCAACAAGAGTGAGGTTACACACTACAACTAGTTGGAGCATATATTTCATCCAATCAACTTTAAGAGATAAGACCTTCGCTCTGGAACTTCCTCGCCCTCAAATCTCATCTTAAACCTCATTCCAACAGATAGCTTGTGGTTTCGAGCTTCAAGGTATTTGTTAACACTTACAATGAACTCGGACCGACTTGTCCTGCAAACAGATTGCTGATTCAGCTATAATTTATAATTCTACAACAGTTTCAGCCAAGGTGAAAGAATACACTGAATTGTCTTTAGACAAAGGCAAACCAACTCCACAAGCAAGGGTCTTTGACAAACCAGAAAGCACAATAAAGAAGACACTTTGAATAGGATGATAGTTCCCATCAATAGGAAAATACCCTCAAGTCATGGAAGCCAACATAAAGCTATGGCCAGAATAACATAAAGCTAACATAAGAACGTATAGCTTTGAAACCATAACATATCTAGGCCAGAATAACAAAAGGATAAGACAAGTCTTGGGATAAGGAATCATAATCATGTTATGCACCCACATCAGAAAACAAATACCATAGGCATCATACCCAAGAAAATTATGGTTTTGGCAGAGGAAAGCTCAGACAAAAAACAAGATAAGTAAAACTACATTTCAGATGTAACAATTACTTTAATATGGGACATTGTAAATACTGTAACCGTACAGCTTATAAGGAAAGACCAGAGAAACGCATGAAAGACAATTAGCTAACAAATTAAGCAAACCGCACGAACCTTGGCTTGTAGAAGACAGAAAAAAGAGTTCCAGTTGCAATCGCATGAGAAGCCGTCGCAAGAACACCTAGATGCATACTTTGGCTTGATATGACAGAAGATGGCATGTTTGTCTGTTGTCTCATATGCCTCCTAACTCCAACACGAAGCTCTCCACTTTCCCCCCTTCCAATATATAAATGAAAATGAATCAACAGTGTATGATCCAGCTATGTGTGAAATCAAAGCCAAGTTTATCATGTATAATGAAGTTACCTCAAGAAGATGAAGGCATCGCCTGCCACTAACTTTTTCGAGCTAACAAATACACTCCATCCAGTGGTTAGCAAGTGGCGCCTGGGTTGACCTGTAGCCAATATTTTAGTGCTCAGATTAGCAGTATACCACCAAGTTTCCACCTAAATGTCGTATAAGCCATAAGGTAGTAAATGAATATCAAATATATAAACCCCAATATTACACATTGAAGAACCAAAGCTAAGCCTCGTGCATAGCATAGCAATGAAATCCAAAAGCAAGTACACCAAAACTGGAGAAATCATGGATCTCTAACGAGTTGACAACACAAGTTACAATGAAGTTCACAG